GAAACTGCTTTCTCTTAAGATTTAAGAGTTTATATTTCCCTCTTTAGCATTTCAGTCTCCTCCTCCCAGACAAAAACTAGTTTGCCAAGATAGACTACAAACACTTCATTTGAGAAGGTCCAAAGGCAATGCACATTTCTTTTCATAAACAAATACAAGCACAGTGAGCAATGCTCTTTTTCTGATCTGTGTGAAAATACGTTGCATTTAAGTGAGAAAGAAGTGTGGGCCCCATGGAATGTAAAGCCTTTTTTAATCAACTTCTCTTACTTTTTAGGAACACCTTATATTTGTGGTTTAGTCGTGTTTCACTTATAGTCTTGATGTTAAGAACTAAGTGTTAGACTGGCTCGATTTCATCGAACATCGACACTGACCACCCGCTGTGTGCCAGGTGCTGGGTTGAGTACTGTGGCTGCTTCAGAGTGCCTGTGAATGACACCCTTATCATGATGGAATTTGTAGTCTCTTTAGATTGAGAACATCTCTTTTTTGAGTCCTAGAATCTGAATTTTAGAGCTTCCAGGGCTTTCGAGATAGCCTATAGTCCGATCTGTTCATTAAGACAGAGGATGCAAAGGAGAGCCCAAAAGTTAAGAAGGTCTTTTTCCCCCAGAGCCAGCAACTCTAATAACAATGGCATCTGGATCTCCTGCTCTCTGAAGCTTTTTGGTGTTTTTAATCCTGTTCCCTATCAAGTCCTTATGTTGGTATTTTTTATCTTCTCCAGATTTCTTCAATGTTTATGGTCTGCTTTAAATGCTAACATTGATCTTCTAATTTTTTATTTTTTATTTTTTTCCCTTTGGCAAATGAACCCTCTATACAAACTCAGATCTTCCAATTTTCTAACCTAAGTTTTTCATCCTTGGCCTGATCGCATACATGGCAGTTCCGCCTGTCCTGAGAGGTTTAATGGGTGACCCTGGGACACCACAGATCTTCTGAGGACCTGGGGGAGGAGACCAGTGTGCAGAGACCCCCCCCTTCAACCTTCCAAACCTAAGCACTGGCCAGAAGATAGGTTTGCCCAAGAGCAAGGAAGACCTGTAGACACAGTGCAGGCTTTTCAGACACCCCTAGACTGGAAAACATCCTTTGGGGGGGAAAAATGAGGACATGAAATCGCTTGCTGTGGTACCTATCATTCTGTGAAGGACAGTGAAAACAGTCCGTCATCCTTGACATTTTAATTGAAAGAAAAGCTTACATAGATTTCAACCATAAGCAGTATGTTTATACAAGTGTATAAAGAGGAATAATCTGTCAAGTTGGAAAACTCTTAATGCTGCAGGACTCAGTGTAGTAATTGAACAATCCAACATGAGCTCACACATCTTACCTTGTTCCATGCCTCAATAATTTTTAGTAGAAATACTTTACCTAGAGGCATATGGTTATTAAAAAGGAGGCTTGGCTTGCTCAAAGTCTGGAATTATTAGCTCATGGCAACAAGCCTGCACTGCAGAAAGACTGTTGGGTCTTTGTTTTCACAACTTTACTGCAATTTGCCATCTCGTTTTCAGAGTCTAACTGATGTGTTGTTTGGGAAATTTTGTTTTGTTTCCTTTTGAAGGAAGAAAACGTAATTTCACGTGGATGAGTGAATTCTCGTGTTAGCAGTATTACAGTAATTTACTACTGCATAGAAAGTCCAGGGAACAGTGTGACTATCAAAGGAAATGAACTGTGAATTTATTTTAGCATGCAAAAAAAATCAATAATATCATAGTTATGGGAGCCCTCAAGGTGGGATGGGGGAAGTCCCAATTTGGAAGTTGAGTGTAAGCCCTGTTGTCTGTCATGACCCATGTGACCTTAGGCAAATTTAAATGTTTCTCAATTCAGCATACTCCTGAGTAAAATGGAAATAATAGGACCTTCCTACCACATTGCATTGTCACATGAAATTAGGGACATGAATATACTTTGAATGTATTAAGTAATAAAAATTCTTATTTCAATATACACAAAAGGAATTAGACAATGCAATGATTCCAATACCACTCTTGCTTCAATGATACGAATATTCTGGACAACTGATTTTTTCTTATGCCTCACTATGTCGATAATCACCTCAGTCTAGTCCTTTATATACCTAATATGGGTAGATATAATGATTTTACTTTTTACAGTTTTTGTAGTTTTAATAATTAAAAAACTCCATCAGTTTGGTAGGTGGAGTTTGGGGAAATAATTTGCAGAATCTGTGTAAAACAATAACCTCAAGATTATTCAGGAATCAAACATAATATATATATATATCTCAAAGGATCATTTTTCCCTCCAAGTATACATTGCTAATTAGTCTGATTGGTATCATTAGGAAATTATTGTTATAATCCCAGGGGAATTCAGTACCCTAAAAGCTCTCTTAGTGAGGGAATATTTGGCATTTTAAACTCTGGTAGATCTATGCAAGGTATAGAAATACTTAGCCAGTAAGAACATTGAATTACATGAAACATACCATTCCCAAACTATTCTATACCACTGGGAGTTTTCTGTAGTTCTGGGACGAATGAAAATTTGTATTTTTGCATCTCCATTCGCATCACCATTAAGTTGTTTAATTGATTTTTTTTTTTAAAAAAAAAGAACACCTCAATAAAAATCAGTGTTTTTGATAACACTAATTTTTTGAGTGTTAAAACACTCAAAAACTCACTCAACTGAGTGTTAAAACACTCAGTTTCTGAGTAATCTGATAACTAAGATTATTTTTAATATGTCAGGTTGGATACAGAATATGAATGATGCCATGACATATTGTCCTTTGTCCGTGAGTATGATACTGCAAACCAACATAGTAAAAATAAATGTTTCTAGTTGTCTTTTCCATAATAGGTTTTGCTTGTCCCTAACTGTCTATACTCAAAGCATTCCCCCTGGTTGACTAGGGAAACAGGCATATGATAAAAAGCTGTATGTATGTATGTATGTATGTATGTATGTAGATCTATTGAGATTAGATGATTATCTATATGTTGGAGTGCTCTCAATGAATGTTCCTCAGTATGAAACTAGAGAGTTCTAATTATTCATCTTAGATTTGGAGCAACTGACTATTATTAAACTCTATATGCTTTGATATACAACTATTTTCTTTTCAATAAAGTCCCTAAACAGGACATCAAAACTAGAGGACACAAGCCAGCCTTGTCTGCTGGCTGACCACATCCTATACCTGTCCAACCCACCTCTGAAGGACACTTTAAGACGCGGTGAAGTCACAACGCGCCATAGTCTTTCAGAGCAATTGAAACCAGCAGTCTCCTAGAACTGTAAGAGCTAAAGGGCTTTCCAAGACCCCGGTCAATCCATACTCCTCCTTAGGTCCCAAGGGCATGTGCCAAGGAATACCCGGAGTACCTCACTTGCTTATCTGAAAACACCCATTTCATTGTGGTAAGCGACTTATATCAGCCTATCTATGTATCATTACTAGAACTGAGTGCCACTTGTGTGCGTCCGCATCACCTCTGCAGAAAGGGTTTCTACTCTTTTGTATTTCCATGTGTACGCCTTCCCAAGCCGATCATAACTCTTCACTGGTTTTATAACTAATCCTATGAGCTGTGACTGTGGGGTTAGCTCTATTTCTCCAGAAGAGCTCAGGGGCAAAGAGAGTGGAAAACTTCATCTTCTTGGGAATTCTAACAGCCATGCAAAGCAAGAACGTGGCATTCTTCCTTCATGTCAGTCCCTGACTTCTCCATAGAAGCCAAAGGGACTCCAGAGAAGTGGCTCCTTCTGCTACTCTGATGGTGGTGTAGACAGGGAGGGGTGTCCTTCCTGGAGTGAGGGAAGGCGTGGGCCCTCACAGAGCATCCCTGCCTGCAGCCTCCGCCCAGCACTGAGCACGAGGAAGTCACACTCGTGCACACTCTCCCTCTCTCTCTTTTGAGAAAAATGCGTTAATTCTGCAAGCACTAGTTCCTAGCATGACACGCAGGCTAAGTTTGCTGTAACATGGAAGACTCATAGGTCCTGAGAGGTTTTTGTTTGTTTGTTCTGTTTTATTTGTTTGTTGTTAAGCCCTGAATTTAAGGGTTTGACATTTATACAGCTCCCCAGAGCAAAAGCATCAGGAGACTGAGAATTTAGCTGGGGAGGTCACTTGTTTGCCATTTTTAATAAACACAAATAATTCCCTTCTTCCCTCAGCCCCACATTCCCTGGCTCATTAAATCAATTTAAGGCCCTTAAAAAAATTTTTTTTTCCTGGCAAATTGAAGCAAAAGCTCAAACTCGGTACAGTACTCCCCCGAGGAGCGCTTACCCAAGTCCTACAGGTCAGGCCCAAATCAGTTTCTGTCAAACAGCCTAACACCTCGAGTTATTATGAAACGAGCGGTTGGTAATGGGAGGCCGTGCTCTGGACGTGCCCTGAGACAGGCCAGCTGTGCCGCCTCCCTGAGATCCGGTTGCTTTTGGTTTGTGTCCTGACTTTGGTTTTTTTCCACTCACGGTGGAGAACTACGAAAAAAAAAAAATCAAAACAGATTTCTGTTGGGAATTCATGAATGAAGTTTGCTCTGCAAATCCAGAGAACGAAAGTGTACCCAAGAGCAAAGCCAGGCGGGCTTCCAGGAAGAGGTGTTGGAGAGTGTGGCTGAAATAAACGTGCACATCTCCGAGGCTCTAAGGCACTCCAGGTGGCTGAGATTTCCCAGTCAATACAGGATTTCACCATGAAGTCCCTTTCCTAAGATGCGGGGCTTATAGGAGATCTCCTGGCTTGTTTCTGTTGAACATCGGTTAGATAACAGAGGTCAGGAAATGAAGTGGAATTTGATGTATTAACTAGGAAGCAGCAAAGGAAACCAGGCTGGTGTTTTATTTGTTATTATTTCCCTAATATCCTCAATTATGTGGCTCTCCCATCAGTGGATCCGCTCTGCTGCACATGTGCTGGTGTTGTCCTTGCCGTTCTGGACAGTGGTGAAACAGACCCAGGGCATCAGGAATAATGTTTGTTTTCTTTTTCTTTGTCCCAGGCCTGTCCCAGGCTCTCTATCTTCTCTGCTACAGCTCCACAACAGACAGAGACAGCCCATGCCAGCCTCCATGCCCGGGACCCTGCCCAACCCCACCATGCCAGGATCTTCCGCTGTCCTGATGCCAGTAAGTGTTTCTGTGTGTCTCACAGCGACCTGTCACTTGCACCGAAGTCTGCCACTCCTGAGAGAGGAAAGGAGAAGCTGAAACCTAAGCTGAGGGGAGAGGAGGCGAGTGCTCCTGCCTGGAGGGCGGAGCCCTGTTGCCCGTGCCTAGGTGCCTTGCTGGCTTTCCTGCCCTTCGATGCTTTGCTATGAGACAGGGTCCCATCTTCTCGCTGGTGACAGGTGAGGCTGTGACACCCAGGAAAAATGGAATGAATTCAGGGAAACAGTGTCATAAAACTGTTGCAAAGTCTACAGCTTGGGCTATATATGTAGCTTGTCCTTAATTGCCAGTGAGTGATCTAGCCAGAACCCAGAGCAATAATTACAACAATAACAGCGATCATACGTAACAGCGGCTCACATGTATTCATGTGTATCATGTTCTAGCGATCATTCTAATAGCGTGTACTGAGTGCTTTCCACATGCTGGTCACTTTCCAAGTGCTCTGTCAATATGTGCAACACTCCTAAGACGTAGGTCTATTACTACCCCCGTTTTTTTGAATGAGGGAACTGAGGCGAATCCCTTGCTCGGCTGAGAAGCAAAGTAGTCGAGTTTTGAATCCAGCTTTGAATTCTGGTTCCAAAGTCTACTCTCTCGACCATGACATTACATTGCATTTCCTCCCTTCGCTCTCACAACAAACCTGTGAGGTAGGCACTGCTGTTATATTACAGATGGGGAAACTGAGGCACGGAGGTGGAGTAACTTAAAAAATTAAGATTATAGAGCTAGTAGGTGATGGAGTCAGGATTTAAATCCAAAAGGTCTGACTCCTGAGTCTCCACTTATAATCATTATATAATGATGAACAGTAAAAAACAGTAGATCAATGTAGAAGGGAGATACAGACTATTCCAGGGGAAACCTTTGTCACCTTCCACAGGGTCTTCTCCCTGCACTCTTCTTTGTCCTCCCTGGCATTGTGCTTTGGTAAAGATGGCTGGGGTTATTATTCACAGGGCCACAGGAGTTCTCAAAAGTCCTCGAGGCAATATGACAATTCAATTAAAATCCTCCCACAACAATATTAACAGTGTCTTGCAGAGCGTTTTAGCATTTTAAGGAGTTGTCTATATTGTTATTTCACTTTATCCTCACAACAATCCTGCAGGGATATGGTAGCAGTAATTATTGATATATTCATTTTACAGATGAAAAGCTAAAGAATAAGAAGTCGAAGGGAGTTGTCTCATGTCGCACAGCTTGTGAGTGAAGAGTTGGGGCTGGAACCCACATCTGAACTCACAACTGAGCAGCTCATCAGTGGATCACCCTGGGTTGGGCAGTTTGCTCCTTTATCTAAGAGTAGGCAGGGGAATGGAGAAACACTTGGTGGACTCAGTCTAGAGAAGTGCACCTGTTTCCAAGTGGGAAACTGTCTTTGCAATATCAGGCCAGATTACAGATTGAGCTGATTGACTTTATCTGCCTTGCTCTCCTTAGAGCCCTTTAGATGAAGGGAAAACAGCACCATCCATGCAATTATCCCAGGTTTCATTCAACCCAACTAATTGCACGAAGACTTCCACCACCAGCTGCCTTCGTTTAGACTTTAAATTCCTCTTGTCCAAAATTAGTTTCCTCTCAAAACTTCTATGCATTACCCAGAAAAATATCACTGTTGGGACCCTTTTCTCCATTTGGCTAAACTGTGTACCATTCCCAGGGACAAAAATGAGACACTTGGGCTGACAGGGCCATCTCGTCTTGCAACTTGACCTCCTGTCAATGCCTCAGAGTAGAAGCCGAGGTTCAGGTTCAGGGTCCAGCACCATCCCCAGGGGAGTTCCCTAACCTATGTCAGTGCTGGGTATGGCTGCCACGACAGTGGGTGTCATCCTGGAGCAGCGGCTCTCAACTGGGAGTGATTTTGTCCCCCAGAGGATATTTGGCAGTATCTGGAGACACTGTTAGTTGTGACAACTGGGGTGGGGGCAGGTCCCAGCATCTAGTGGGTATAGGCCAGGGATGCTGCTACGCATCCTACAGTGCACAGAACAGCCCCTGAGACGAAGGGTTGTTTGGCCCGATATGTCAATAGTGCTGAGATTGAGAAGCCCTGCTCTTGAGTGACATGAATATGACTAATAATGATTAATACAAGATCTCTAAAAAGTATATCCTAAAAGTTTCAGGCTGTGGAAACCTGGACCTTTTCTTCCTTCTTATCCTGTCACCACCTCCTGTGCTATCACTTTGGCATCTCAAGCCTGGTCACAGGGGAACCTCCTCCCCTAGAGTTCCTACCCTGGGAGACCAGGATTCCCTGGGTCTGAAAGATGAGTCTATGTCTTTAGGGGAAGGTGAGATTCTTAGCTGATTTGTAATGTATGCTGCCAGGCCACACGTTTCACAAGGCCTAGGTCTGAAACAAAATGATGCGTTGATTCATTCATCCATTCCAGACTTTTCTTGAGCACCTTCTATGTGTCATGTGTACTTTGCCCGGGAGCTGGGGACACGCTGAGGAACATGGCAGGCACTGCCTTCAGGGAGGTCACTGGCTGTGATGTCTTATCTTGAAAGGCAACTCCTTTGATAATTTGGGCATAGGAGCACCCATTTATAATTACAAAAGTTCAGTGAACTACCGACATTCTAGCTTCTGTTTTCCAGTGTGTGAAAAAGGTGAAATCCTGGTTGCTTTACCTGCAGTGCTAAATGCCCAGTATTCAGCCAACCACTCCCTACGCATAAAGCTGTGCCCGTGGTGCAGACGGAGGCTTCCTAATGCAGAGCACCAAATAGTTGTTCTGAAGACACTCTTGCTGACACTCTGTGTCTGTGTCTGTAAGCCAATGATCATTAAGATCAAAATGCAATTTTTTTTTTTTACAGATAGGGAAATCAGCCTGTGTAAAACCAGTGTTTAGTGAGCCCCAAAAGTGGGAAGCTTTGCTGACACCAGATCCAGAAGCCATGAGCAGGCTACTCCCATCTCTTTGTATGACTAGTAGCTTAGAAGACTCTGGACAATCATCTGTACTTCTGAAAGATCCTTCTTTGGGAAACTGAAAACAAAAGCTCTTTGGGGCTTTGACTTCTCTTTCTGAGTGGGTCACCAATTCGAATAAGGGGTCAATCACCTCTCCTACCCACCAGCATCTGGAAGCAGGGGTTATAAGGAATATGCATTTTTTTAAAGGAATGAAACTCTTAAATTCTTCATGACTTAACAATTAGAGGGCCTGAATGTATTTAATGACAATGCACTTAATTTAAAAATGGTTAAAATGAGCCGGGCGTGGTGACGTGCACCTGTAGTCCCAGCTATTCAGGAGGCTGAGGTAGGAGGATTACTTTCGTCCAGTGGTTGGCAACTGTAGTGTGCCGTGATCATGCCTGTAAACAGCCACTGCTTTCCAGCCTAGGCAACATAGTGAGATCCTCATCTTGGGGGGGGGAAAAAAAAAGTTAAAATGGTAAATTTTGTATTATGTATATTTTAGCACAATTTAAAAAATAATTTAAGAAAATTAGAGAGCCTAGGCTGTCCAGAGATGTAGGAGGTCCGTGGGAGTGAACGTTTTATTTCACTGACTTGGGAAGGCCTCAGAAAGTTGTACTGAAGTACTCTGGAATGTACAGAAAATTGGGCTTCATTAGCTCCTCTGGAAACGGTTCCACACATCCCCAGGCTACCAGACGACTGCTCAGCTAATCCAGGCTAAAGTGTGGCTGACGGGTCTTCACTGTCACGGGAATATCCACCACTCAGTCAGGAGGAAGCTCGTAGCCAGCACCTCTACTGACCTGCAGATTAATGTCCTAATCACACCCCTGCCCCTGGGGCGGACACAACAGGAATTGCAGTCAGGGAGTGTCCACAATGGAAGGGACCTTTAAGGGTCATTCAGTTCAACTGTCACTCTCAAGCGTCACTCCTGTTTGTGAGATTTCCGCCCTCCACTCTTTGGACACCTCCAGGGACAAGGAATGCCATATTTTCCTTGCCTATCCTGGCTAACTTTGAGCAGAAACCTGGTTCCCTGAAATTTCCCAGCCATTGTTTTTATTTCCATTCTTCGGTAAATGGGAACACATTTGCATTAAAGAATCTATTTTTCTCCCCCTGAGGAAAGTCTAATTATTTTTTTCTGTGTGATTTTAGTATTAAGTGTACTTGATTTGGTCTCCTTCTTTGAAAAGTGTTAATTTTCCACTAAATGGAAAATCTTATTAATCAGGCACACCCTTCCTGGACTAAAAGTAGAAATTTGGCTATATTTACTTCTTAATGGGATACCCTGGAGATGCGAATGTCAGAACTCAGTTCAGGTGTTGGAATGATGTTCCTTCGAGACACGGTGGCCGGCCAGTGGAGGACACTGTGGGAGCAAGTCAGTCATTGGTGTGTAACATAAAACCCTTGGCTGTCTTCTGCACCCGCCCAAAGGCCTTGCCCTGCTGTGAGGTGAGGCCTGAAACTCCGGCCGTGTAGGATCTTGACCAGGTTAACCGGGAAGAGATGCGCTGGGTGTTGGCTCAAATATGCAGCTGGAACATTCTGCTTATGGTTACGAGCTAGAGCCATAGGAAGACCCGCCGTATTTTGAGAACGTTGCTTTTAAAACTAATTTTGTTTGTTTGTTCTTATTACCTCAAAGAGTCATGTGTATTGTATAAAATTTAGAGAGAAAAAAAGTCATAGATAGCCTGAGTTAATCATTTGGCATATTATATATCCTTTCAGTATTTTTCTATGTATACGTTACTATACATATTTATTGCCTTAAAAATGTGCATGATTAGCGGCAGTTGCAGTGTTTGCAAAAGTGGAAGTATTGGGTAATTTTGTTTGGAAATGATCTACCATGACAATGCAGTTCTCCTTGGCCTGGAACATCTTGGTTTTTTTTGAGACAGAGTCTTACTCTGTCACCCCAACTACAGTGCAGTGGCATCATCATAGCTCACGACAACCTCAAACTCCTGGGCTCAAGCCATCCTCCTGCCTCAGACTCCTGAGTAGCTGGGACTACTATTTTTATTAGAGACGGAGTCTTGCCCTTGCTCAGGCTGGTCTCGAACTCCTGACCTCAAGTGATCCTCCTGCCTCTGCCTCCCAGAGTGCTGGGAGTACAGGCGTGAGCCACATCTATAGATGTGCAGGGCCCTGGAACATCTATAGAAGGAAGGCACAGCTTTGGATGACTCTTTGGTGTGCTTGAGTTCAAGGCCCAGTAGTACATTGCTCACCATACAACAAATCACAGACTTTCGAAATCAGGAATTCTTCAAAGAAATGCCAAACAATCCATTTGAAAGAGAAGTGCAGCTTTGCCTATGACTTTGACTGCCTTTCTCAGATTTCTAATTCTGTTGCTTTCCTTTCTCTTAGATGGAGAGGCAAATGTCCGTGAACTCCAGCATCATGGGGATGCAAGGTCCAAATCTCAGCAACCCCTGTGCTTCTCCCCAAGTCCAGCCAATGCACTCAGAAGCCAAAATGGTAAATAACAGTTATCATCATCCTTTGGTTATTGCATGACTTTTTCTTTTGACTTCTACTCTGACTCCAGCATTTTGGTTAAGCCCAATGGAAGGCCCTGTCTTTGTTTTGGTGACTAGGTCTTTCTATAAAAAGGCGGTACAGAGATTGGCTCTCTCTTTAAGGATATTTGTTATAGACTCTCGGCGTCAGACAATCATGTAACAAGCATTGGATCAGCATGTGGTGTTAATAAAAGGAACATTTAGAAGTTTTGGGAGATCCATAGAGTTGGGGGCAGGATATGCCCATAGTATGTGTGAATATTTGTTCATCATGTGAAACAGCAAAAATAATCTAGAGCTTCTTTTTCTTCAAGGTAGTTTCAGCGCTACTCTTCCTGTCCCCGTAGCCATTAAAACAGACATTTGATTCTTAAGTACACACTGTTATGAAAATACTTTGTGTTTTTTGTTATAGTTGTCAGATGCGATGTTGATTTGAAAGGATGAGAGCCTTATGTGCTTGCCACCCTTACTGAAATGCACAACTTCAAGTGACAATCTTCAGTAACTTTTAACATATGTTATTGGTGTTCAGTAAGGTCAGTCTTTCCAATCACAGTGATAGATTTATGCATCTGTATTTTACTAAATATTAGTAAAAGCAATGCACACCTGTCTTTACAATATAAAGTTAACTTGCTGGTTATATTTGGTGAAGTTACTTGAAGTAGGTCACTCAGTTTTCATACAGTTAAATCCTGACACCACAATTACTAAGGTATCAGATGACTGCAGAATATACTACAGCACATTTCTTAGCATCTGATGTTGGATAAGGATGGCTTTTGCTAGAAGTTAGAGATTCATCTGTTCTGCTGACTGGCAGCATTAGAGACTGTGTCTGGTGATTGGTATGAGGATGTTGTTGACAGTTCTGAAAGTTGGCCATCAATTGCTGTGCAGGGGTGGAGTCAGACCCAGTGACTTCCTTTTCAATGTCAGCAAGAGTTTTTTGTTGTTTTTGTTGTTGTTGTTGTTGCCCACTTTGGTCACTTTCTCTTAGAAACTTCACTCATTTGACTTGCAGTTTCTTGACCCAACGAATCAGCTGAACTCCCAGTGTTGGCTACTTTGGGCAAATAAAATCTGTGGTCAAGAGAGTTCTCTTTGCTGTGCCACAATCCCCGTGACGTGCCAAATGGCACCGGCAGCTGCAGCAAAGCTCGTTAAATCTTTTTGGAATCGGCTAATATTTTTGCAGCTCAAGCTCTGCAGAGCCAAACCAAATACTTGCTGGCAGAATAAAGTCCAAACTGGCATCTGTTTTGGAGACCAAAGTAATGCCATTTACCTTTTAAAAAAAAAAAAAAAGAAAGAAAGAAAGAAAGCAAAAGAAAAAGAAAAAAGTGAACTGTGAAGGCACTTAAGAAAAAAACAAAATTAAGTTCTTTGTGTATATGAATAAGTGCTCAGGTCTGGATCTGAGACATTCTCTCAGATGGATTACTTCTGAATCTTATTTGCTTGAGGGTCCGTACCCTTTTGAGAGATCTTTCAGATAAATGTTGGGTGGCTTCTAAAACATCATTCCAAGTCAAATTTTTCTGCCAATTGATTTTCACTGGATTTTATGCCACCACTTGACTCAGAAGTGTCCTACCTCTTTTCTTGCCGGCAAAGAAGGAAAACGGATCCAAAGGTAGTACAGGTTTATAATCATTTATATGCATGAATTAAATCATATGATATGACAAATTAATTGTGAATAATGTTAGCTGGAAACAAAGGGAGTTGGTCTGCACTTATAAAAATCATTTTCCCCCCCAGAATGTTTGTTGAGTTCAATTTGCTGAGCAGGCGCATCCCTCTGCTGACTCATGTTCTAAGGGAATGACTGTTTCCAGGCCCAGGGTGTCTACACTAATGAACTCCATCACAGACTTGGGGCTCGGGGAATACAGCTATTCTCTCTTCCCCGAGCTCTCACCCCATCCCTGTTATTTCCAGTACGTTAATCCAAAGGGAAAAATGGTAGTAGTATTGGCCACTCATGTTCAGAAGAATAGCATTTAGCTTGGAAAAGTGTTAAGTAAGTGAATTTGAACATGTCACTCAGCATCTCTGTTCTTATTCCACTTACTTTATTTCCTGGAGAAACCAGTTCTTGCTTCTACTAACCATACAGTATTTTCTAGCAGCTTTGGGCTACTCAGATAAAAAGTTTTTTATGAAATACAAAGTAGTGAAGAGGGGGAAAAAAAAAACCCTTCCCTGATTTTAATGTCAGCCAGAGGCTCCCCAGGTTTCTCTGAACTATGGGCTTTGTTGTTCTATGCCTAATTTTCTTCCTGTGTAAGACTGGAATGGATTCCAGATTTCGACTCAGACTCTTGTTTCACTGTTTTCAAGGACTTTTCCAAAGGTCACACACAGGCTATTGTGACGAATGCACTCTGCAGGGTGTGTTCTCAGAGCGCACAAGTAACCAGAGAGCTACAGGGGAGGTGTTGCCCACACCAAAACACTGCAGGCTTATTCTCCTGGGGACCGTGGTGTCAGGGTGTCCATTTCAAACTCCCTATTGGCCACTGACAAAAGCCATCATTCTGAATCTCTGGTGAAACTGGGAGGTCTTGGAAGTGGACAGAAGCTTAAGACAGGATTGCTTTAAATGTGCAATGTTGTTAGAAACTCTCCCACTAGTGATTGCCTATTAGAATGCATCTGTTTACTTGTCCCAGATGGGTAATTTTACCATGGGAGAGAACAAAATGGGTGTCCTTAACCAGCCCTGCAGTCCATTAATCTGGAACATCCTAAATCAAGAAGCACATGTGCTAATCTTTTGATTTAATGTATATTAGTATCAATGAACTGTAGCTGCATCTGTCTAAGCTAGCTTTATCATAATCCTGACTGATCATAATTTAGTTTTCTGGATTCTTCTTCTGAAGAATTAAGCCAACAGACGTATGTTTTCACGATTATGCAAGTGCACATGCACATGTTGGATTTCGTTTGGGCGGGTCAGAGTGGACTCAGAGCCCTGACAGCCTTCGATCTTTCTAACCACCCAAAATAATAGGCTCTTCCTTCCAGTTTCCTGAGGTCAGTGTATGTCTTGGATGAAAGTGGGGTCTACTAGAAAGAAATTCACTGGCTACCTGGTGGACATTGTTAACATTCATAGGGGAAAGGGAGGAAAGGAGGGAGAAAGGCAGACTGAAATGGAAGAGGGAGAAAGAAGGAGACAGAGGGCAGGGGAAGTGCAGACTAGACTGCACTGGGACACATTGCCACTCTCTGCAGCATGGGGTCACTCTGTAGTGATGTGGTCACGGTGTTCTCAGACTAACATAGATTTGTGTTCATTTCTGTTTGTGGGAATGAGACCAATTCTAGCTTTGAAAAAAAAGTTTATGTTTGGGTTTAGAAGCCAAATGAGTGGCTGGGGACTTGTCCATACACCTGCCTAGTGTCTCACGTAAGATGCAGTGACTACTACCATGCAGAAACTATTAAAATGAAGGATGGCGTGTAAACAACTATTCAGGCAGGGCTCTGGCCACTCTGCTCAGATTTCACCTTATGTTTGGACAGGGCTAGCGGAGGCTAGGGAGTATTGATACTAGGAAGAAGGTATGCACTGCTATGACCTGATTTCGTCCTTACGACAGCACTGTGATAGAGGTATTGTCCCCATTTTATAGCTGAGGCAACTGAGGCCACGAGAGGTTAAAACCTCATCCAGTGACATGTCACTTAGCAAAGACTAGAGTTTTAGACTCCAAAGACCAAGCTTTTTGATGACACCATTGACGCTTTGGATAAAAATATCATATGGTTACCAGATGTCAGTAACCAGCAGATTAAATCTAATTCTTTTGGGTTAATTGATATTTAGATGCAAATGGGAGACAAGGATGGCAAAGATAGCTTAGACCTCCAGATAACCTGGAAAAGAGATGGAACAGTTGGTAGTATTCCCTCTTGGTTTAACCGGAGCTCCCTAGTCTCACTAACTGGTCCAGCCTCACTGCTTCTTCATCCAAACACATTTTTGTCTTGACTTTTCTTATGTTACATGTGTGTCTCCCTTACTTGATTAATTGGAAGCTCCTTGAAGATAATCCATGCATCTCGTAAGGTCCTTGTACTGAGAGAGGCCCCATGACTGAGAACTGAATTTAACTGAGTTGAGTTGAATTGAAATAATGGGAAGGAACCAAACCCTAGTAATGGAGATGAGGGTGGGACGGAATGGGTGGGAGCAGAGGTGGGGCTGAGAAGCAGGGAATAAAACCAGACAAACCAGCCTGGAAAGAGTAGCTGGCTATATTCGATTTCTTGGAAAGATACCTAGAAACAACATCCATCACATTTTTTTTTCCTGGATTAAAAAAGCAGTATGTCTGTTCCTGAGAAAATAGAAGTTGGAATATCACTGCCCTCCTTGGAACTAAAAACAATCAATACTAAATGCTCTTTCTTCCACGGTGACAAAGTAGTCATGCTGTATACTGGTCATTGATTGCCAATGCCCCATCTATAGTTAGGTCTGCAGCTCATTGAATAGATACATAAATATATGCACTAATGAATGAATGAATGAAAGAAGGCATTTTAGAAATGGAGGTTACCTAGTGAATACCTTGGCCAAATGCCTATTTTCACAAGTGAGGACGTCAAGGCCTGCTAAAGACTTAGGGGGATCAAGCCATCATTTTAACCCAAAGCTGGGCCCTCAACTTGGGCCTTCCCATTTCAACTTAGTGCTGTACTTTTCCTGGCAGCTATACCGGTAAGTCCCTAACAGCTCTGCTGCTGCCTCACGGCTGCTCCGCACAGACCGGCAGACAAGCGCTAGGGAGGTATGGTGAGCAACCCTTGGTTACATATCCGCTTTGTTTTGAATGTCAACCTGGGTGTGTTTGTGTTTGCTTTTCCCCTCCCTAATTATCGAGCTGGATAACTGTTTGCCTGCGGTGCCCCTTGGACACCCGCTGTCCAACAGAT